AAATCTGCAGCCAGGATGCCTGAGTCTGGACAGGTGCTGGATTTAGCACGTTTACTCACAAGTGACCAAAAATCAGCACCTCAAGTTTACTCATCTAAGGAAATAGCTAAACTAGAGAGTTTAGTGGTACAGCTGCATTGGTATGGCCAAGGTCACTGATATCAAAGATTACTCTTATTGAGCTTACAAATCAGGATGTGGATATAAACTGCAAGCAAAGAGCCTGGGTTAGTGTCTCTTGAACTAGAGAGGTGTCAGTTGTACCTTTCTGCAACAGGCTGGCCCTCTGTGCCTGCAGAAGATGCATCCGAAGGAACGTAGGCAGAAGCATAACCACCTGCCTGCATTCATGGACTATACATTGAGTGAGAGCCATAATACACAGACCAGAGGATATTTGAATGCATTCAGTCTCTCATCACACTACCATCCTGATCAGTTGTGCCCACATTTGCAGTTCCACTTGCTTCAGGGAAGATATATATGTTGCTGTTTGCACAGGATTTTTGCCACAAGGTTTCCTGGGTTGTATCAGTGACTTTATTTAGAAAAGGCATAAAATATCTCAGGTCTGCCTTCTCACTGGAATAGGATTACCATATGTCTTAGTTTTCATGAACATAGCTTCCTTTCTCAGTCCATGTGGATTTTTCTAATAACAGGAAATATCTGGGAGTTTTGCAGAGGAGATAAACTGCAGCTTAGAAAGGTCCTTCCTTGCATCCATTCCCCTGCAGCCACAGTTACCTTACCGCACCCACCCAGGCCCTAGTTCTCATCCCTGGGGAAGGACTCCTACAGGAAGGCACTGACTGATGGTTGTTGCTGCATTCTGGGCTTGCAACAGCTGCTCAGTAACTGTGACATGGAGCGTCATTGCTCCCCACCTCCAATGAGTATCCCCGACTGCGGGTACCCCCTTAGCACCCCTAACTGTATCTCTCCAACTGTCCCTCCCTCCCCCCGAGTCCCAGCTCCTTGACCCACCAACCTCGTTCCTCCAGCGACCTCTTTTTTGGTACATGAAATATGGTAAATCTATTCTGGAAATACAGAACAAGCTTCTGTGACAGTGTAATGTTGCCATAAAAATGTACAATGTATACAAACACAAACAGCAATTAGGTTTATTTTGTCTGTGCTTTGTCATTAACATTTCACCTTCTTTCCTAATTTTCTGGTGTGTCTTGCAGGCTAAAGAAGCATTGGAAAATGGGGAAGTTCCTGTTGGCTGCCTTATGGTCTATAACAATGAGATTCTAGGAAAGGGAAGGAATGAGGTGAATGAGACTAAGAATGTAAGTCACAAAAAAGGCCCTATCAGAAAGTACTTACTATGTGCAATGGTGTTTCACCATTAATACCATGGGGTGAGGATTTTCCCCATGTGTGTATTAGAATTGTTGATTAATCTCTGTTAACTCACACAATTAACTAAAATGCTCACTTTATATTACTGATTACAAATATACACATAAAAATTGTAAGCAAAAGAAATAGTATACAAAGTATTAAAGTGACTTCCAAATGTTAAACAAAAATTGATTACATAAATTCACTCAAAAAACAACATAAAACTTTAGAGCTTACACGTGTACTCAGTCCTACTTCTTGTTCAGACAATTATTAAGAGAAGCAAGATAGTTTACACTGATGGGAGATACTACTGCTTGCTTCTTTACAGTGTAACCAGAAAATGAGAATGGGCATTCAAATGGTACTTTTGTAGCTGGTGTTGCAAGGTATTTACTGCCAAATATGCCAAACATTTATATGTATGCCTCTTCATGTTTCGGCCATCATTCTAGATGACATGCTTCCATACTGATAATGCTCATTAGAATAATAATTCATTAATTACATTTGTGATTGAATTCCTTGATGAAGAATTGTATGACTCCTGCTCTGTTTTACCTGCATTTGCCTTATGTTTCATGTTATAGCAGCCTCAGATGATGACCCAGCATGTTTGTTTTAAGAATGCTTTCACAGCAGATTTGACAAAACACAAAAAAGGTACCAATGTGAGACTTCTAAAGACAACTAGCGCCCTGCAAATCCGTGGATATCCACAACTCATTTTTGCAGATGTGGATACAAATTAACTCAGATTAAAATCAACAATAATTTTAACAATAATAAAATTAATAATTATTTAAACATTAATAGTTATTAATCACACTGAAACAATAGAATACTAATAGCAAAGTATTAAGTATTTGTGGATGTTTGTGGATTTTGTATCCATGCAGAACTCGAAGGATAGCTACAGTACTTGACCCAACCCAAAGTTTAAGAATCTGAAGTGCCATCCAAAATTTAAAAAGGACAAGGTGTTGAGCATGCTTCCAGAAGTCTTAAAATAAATGGTATTCTATTATTGTTTAACAGTGTGATTAATAATATGATCATTTTTTTCATTGCTCAACTGCCCTAGTGTGCACATTTCATTGTTTATATATTTTTCAATTTTCTTTCTGCACATCTAGCCCTCCTTTTTAGTAAATCAGCTATTGTGTATTTTTTTTGCTATCACTTTTGCATGTTTATTTTGTAGCGTGTGATCTAGTTATTTCAATAAGCTTCTGCTATAATCTGCAACATTTGTGTACTTTCCGACTGTAATTTATGTGAGAGGATTTTAGAAGTTTCTGCTTATCAACTAATTACTATTTCCTTTGGGTAGAGCTATTTATGACAAGAAATAAAGATCAGAAAAAGAAAGTTGATATATACAGCAGATATAATACATAGATATACCATGGCTTTATACAAATATCGTACCTTATGTGTTTTACTGAATTCATATTTACAGTAAAAGCAGCATCCAAATTTCTAGTGACTATAGGGCAGTGAAGGCAATGCACTGTAATGTAGACTACTGGCAATTTTTCTTTTTTCCATATATTTATAAACATGATAAATTATGCAGGAGAGCCTTGCTAATTCACACTAACAACTGGGAGATAGATAACAAATTATTGAATTTTGCAATTTAGCATTTAAAGTAGCAAAACAAGGATATCACTTTGCAAAATGTACAATGACAAGTGTAGTTGAATTATATTTATTTACAATAATACTTCATAAGACTGATGTTAGTGTGTTTTCTTAAAAGTTATATTTAATAATAATATGAGACCTAACTCTTAATATTTTTATGAAAATTTCCCTAGGAAGAAAGACAATACTACTAGTTTTGATGTGCAAGTCACAAGATAGGCATGTTAGCACAATTCAACTGCATAGTTTATCCGAATTATGTAAAAAACAAAGACTTTTGCTATACTAAATATCTGGTTTCAACATTTAGACCCAGGTCTCGCAATCAGATATGTGGGTAAATCCTAAGCCTTACAAAGCCCTATAGAAGTCATTGGGGGTCTGTGAAGATATAAAGGTTTTCCCCAGGTGAATTTGACTGCAGAGTTAGGTCCTCAATTTGTATTGTGTGTCATCCAATTCAAAAACAAAATAAAAATGGAGGCTAATAGGTTCAGTTTTAAAGAGATGGTAGTAAGTCTAACAACCCACTTCCATTTGTGTCGGATGCTAATGCACAATCTTTTGTAGCAGTTTTGCTTCTCATCTCTAGTTCATGAAAATTAGAAGTGTAGCACGTTAAGGGATTCAGTCTAAAATCAAAATGAACACTTTTCACACCACTAAAATACAGGCACGTCTTAAGATGACCCACACACGTTTAATCGGTACTACCCCATTATTTGGACAATAAGGTGAAGAATACTAAATCCACTTACGGAGAATTTACTGTTATAAGGCAGAATGTAACAGTAGAAATCAGGCACAAAAATCAGCATTAGCACCCTTACTACTACAGGGGGAAAAGTAGGAAAGGAACTGCAGGCACCCAAGTTTCATATTCTTGTGGCTTAATTTTCAGAAGTGTTGAGCATTCACGCTGAAGTAATTGGGAACTGTGAGTGCTATTCAACACTTCTGAATAACTGACACTTGTTCTTCAGTGACTACAAGCAGTCTGGGTCCTCATGGCTGAAACATGGCATTAGAGTGATGGTGATTACTCACTTGAAAATAAGTAAAAAGAAAAAGTCCAAAATGTCTTCAGTATTTCGCTTCATAGTGGTTTTTCCTTGTACCTTTTTCTGACATTAGTTGACTTAGACGAAAAATGAACTGCTCAGGGCGCTCAACATCCTTTCTCTCTATTCCAAAACTGGTAATTTTTGTTTAAAAAATTATTTTCTGAAATCCTTCCAAATTTTGCCAGGAACTGAAATCTCTAGTTATGCATATTATCACATATGCTCTCTTCTTGTTCCATATGCCAAAAGCAATATTATGTAAAATCAGGGAGGCAGCCTCTTCTTCTACCGGATTTATCTTAAAATTCTTTATCATCAGCTTCCTCCTCCTTGCCAAGGTTGTGGAGGGGAGGAAGAATTGTGTGTATTATAGAATCTTTCATGTCTCTTAGTAAGAGCATGTGTCTAGATTCATATCTTCAGTACTGTTAGGCTTGTTATTACTTGAATTTCTTGGGCAACAGTGCACCAAATATCATTGTAACTCATTGTTTTTTAAACAACCTGGCAATAGGTGCACAAGACTTAGCCAGCATTATTTTCTCTGGAAGCTCCCATGCTTGCCTGATTGGTCTCAGCCTTTCCGCATACAGCCCTACTATTTCCTCTGTAATAATACATGTGGACCTTCCCAGCAAGAAGAATTTTTGGAATTTGTTTATGTATTCTCCCTTTAGGATGAGTTGTTACCACATGCAGGCGTCTTCTATTTATCGCCTGTTTAGTCATGCCAGCATGTGTCTTTGCCCAGAGCATTTTGCCAGCACAGTATGTAATCACTGAAAAGGAAATATTGTTTCCATTCATAAATTACTAATGATGCCCCAAGATAAAATAAAACTACCAGCTTTAGCCCTGTCACTCTCACTTGTTGATTCTTGTACAGGCTGAACCTTTCTTATCCAGCACCCTCGAGACCTGACTAGTGCCAAACCAGAGAATTTTCCAGAACACAGGAGGTCAATATTGTCCAGCAGCATTACCAACACCTCCACTGCTTACTAGGCTGTTAGAAGAGATTTAAGGGTAAATTAGAGCTAAATAACAGCAGAGAACATTGAGAGCCAGGACTCTGGTGGCTGTAAACAAACTTCGTGGGACCGCAGGAAACTTGGCCACACCCATGAAAAGTGGACATCTGGCTAACTAAAATCATTTTGGATGACGGATGTTTCTGGACCAGAGAGTTCTGGACTAGAGAGGTTCAAACTGTACAAGATTTAGATTCTTTGTCCTTCAGGGCAGGATATTTTTGGGCACTCTATTAACAGAATCATAGGCTTCTTCTCTAATGACTTCCCCTTCAGCTCATGTCTATTTTTCCAACATCTTTTATCACTCTTCTATAACAGTAATTATTTTCTTGTTCCATCGTTACTTTTATTTGCTTTTTTCTTTATGTAGTAATTATAACAATACTAACAATAATAATTAATGAATTCATAGCACACAAACACTGTGCAAACAGTAATTTTATATATTGGCCTTATAGAAGATTATAAATGAATTCATGATGTAATATGAAAGTGAACATATGCACAGCCAATATTAAAATGATACATAAGTTTGTTTCAATATACCTGTTTACAAAGTCATAATTTAAGACCATGTCCATTGATGTGGACTCAATTTTCATCTTCATCCAGCTCATGCTTGGTGTGGAGAGGAGCATGCTTCCTTTGATCTTCAGAGTACAGTTTAGAACGGGCTGCTCTAAATTACAGGCAGTCCCCGGGTTACGTACAAGATAGGGACTGTAGGTTTGTTCTTAAGTTGAATCTGTATGTAAGTCGGAACTGGCGTCCAGATTCAGACACTGCTGAAACTGACCTTCTCTACACAATATTTTGCAGAGACTAAATAATTTAATTTATTCTTGCTTTAGTATAAGAAAGTTCATGGAGTTCAAAACTTAACTACAGAAGAACTGGTAGAAACCTAAAAGATGATCTAATTTTAAGTACATATAAAAGGGGAGTTAAACTTTTTTTTAAACCAAATAAAAATACACTAGCACTAGATCACTAATGAATATATCATAATATAGTCAATATTTATCAGGTCTTTCAAAGAAGCCCAGTGAACCTTGCCCGTAGAAAGCTTCAGCTCATCTGCAAGATATACCACACCTCCATTTTACAAATGAGTACAGTAATTCAAGGCATAAAGTGTTTGCCCAAGGTCCCTTCAAACAGTGGCAAAAATCAGAAAGGCAACCTGAAAATCCACATTCCCTGTCTTCTGTTTCAATCCCCAACCATGCAATCTCTTACACAAATTTTCCTTCATTATCTACACCTAAAATTTCTACTATTTTTCCAATTTAGGAGACTCATATTTGTTATGAGCTCAATTAGAGTCCCATTTCAACTAGGGATGAGAAATATCAGTTAACTGATTAGTAGATTAATCTCATCAATTCTTATCGATTACTTGACTATTCTATATTACCAAGGGGTGGGGCTGGTAGCTAGTGTGCTCCAGCCCTGCTCCTGAGGAGCCCCCTGCCTCTTCATGCTGCTGCCTCTGTGCCAGGCGGTAGCTGGTCCACGAGGGAAGCCAGTTTAAAAACCAGCCCCCCTTGTGGACTGGCTGCCTGTCACTCCACGCTGTTGCCTCTGATGCTGTATCAGAGTCAGCAGCGCAGGATGGCAGCAGCCCCTGTGTGGGTGAGGTGGCTGAGCTCCCAGACATGGCTTGAACTAGAACTGAGCCAGGCTGCCTACCTGCCTGGTTCCTAATACACTTTAAATGCAGAGCTGCAGTGGGAGTAGATCCCATACCCAGCGTGAGCCAGAAATGAGCCAGGCTGCTGGCCAGCCTGCTAAAAAAATTACTGACGGGATAAGAGGCGGAAATGCATGTAGCATTAACCTATAAACTTTTGCTTGTCAGTTAATTGACTACACCATTGCATCCCTAGACTAGATGATCATAGGCCATAGACCTTTTTCCCCAAATTATTTCCTAGAGCATACATTTTAGGAAAACATCAAGAGGAATCAAGGTCACTCTGGTATGTTTACTCAGCATTTTCCTAATATATGAAGCAGGATATAGGTATAGGGTGAGAGGTATGCTCCTGAGTTGGGGCCACTGCTTGTTGTGCCAAGCAGTAGGCAAAATGAAAAGATACCTGATCAAGCCTAAGGATTCCTTGAGAGTTGTATGGGTCTAAAGTTTGAAACTGAGTATCATTACTTCAAATCAATCTGTGCAAAATTGAAATTGTACTCTATTTTTCATCTAGGACCAGCTGAGAGAGAGCCCATTTCAAGAAGAATTACATTGCCACTATGATAATAATGAAAATAATTGATTTTTAATAAACCAGGTGTAGGTCACCTTGTTTTAATTAAAAAAAGATAATTTTATGGTGGCGTACTCATTTCATTTGAGCAGATAAGGATAACAGGAGCAATATGCCTAGAGTTGCAGATCAATGCAAGTCTTTTTTGTCTCTCTACTTTCTGTTCTCAGGCTACTCGACATGCAGAAATGGTAGCAATCGATCAAGTCCTAGACTGGTGTCATCAACATGATAAGGATCCTGCAGAAGTGTTTGCACACACAGTGTTGTATGTAACTGTAGAGCCTTGTATTATGTGTGCAGCTGCCCTGCGCTTGATGAGTATCCTTTAGTTCTGATTCAGGCTGGGAAACATATGTCACTATGGTACTTTTAAGTAAATCATTTGATAATGAATCCATGGAGAAGAGCTTAATATTTTCAAATAAAGCTTTATAGGGTACTAGCTTATCTGCTCAAGAGAATGTATCCATGCTGCTGTTCCTATATCAAAGGCCACATAACAAAGATTAAGAGATTTAAGGATGTGAGAAAGCAACTTACAGAACTGGTACATACACTGTTTTTTCTAAGGGTGTGAAAGTAAATCTGAGCCTGTTACTATATACAATTAGGCCTTCCTATGCAAATGTCCAATTTTGGAAAAAGTAACAAGCTAATAGTATGAGACTTCCAGTGCTTCCACTTTGGGATCTCTTCCTTCCCATCTTCGGAGGACAGAACAAGATGACCCCTTCTTCCATTTGCAGAAGGCATGCTCTATGTGTTACCTAGAAGCAGATGCTGAGTGCACCACCAGCCCAGGAGTGAGGGTTCGGTGCAGAGGGTTAAGAGTGCAGGCACCATTTACTGAACTCAGATGGCCACTTAAATCAGAATCCTCTGCTTCATGTCATTCTCTTCTTATTGAGTTCCTTAACTCTTGCCTATAAATCCCACTGGTTGTATATGGCTGTCAAAATGAGAGATTTGGAGGCTGTGGCTCAGTCTTGAATATCTCCTCGGCTAACTTAACAGACACTGGGGAACCATTTCAGGTAAAACATCATGATGTGTTCCTTCTTGCATTTAATGTTTATAAGAAAGAATACAGTTACAGTGGGTGACAAGGAGCTGAGATAGTGAGGCTGTAAAAAGGTTTCCAACATCAGCAAGAACATTCTGATGGCATCACAACATAAGCACCTGTTGGTCGGTGGTAGAAGAGAGGAAGCTCGCTTATGAGTCTAGGTTCTAAGAGATTTTTACATTCTTCTGAAAGATTTTTTCTGATATACAAGCAGAAGATGTGTATTTAGCTCTTCGATGTGCCCAACTGTGTAAAGGAAAAGGATATTTCTATCTTAACTGTTTTTTTCCAAGCAGTTGCTGTGGGTTGAGTGTGTACAAGTTAGCACCTTCTTATGTGGGTGTACTCTCTGCAATTAGTGGTGTTATTGAAAACATCCTAGCTCATTATTTTTCCTATCATTCCCATTCACATATTTGGGCAACTTACAGTACGTTTTGTGGATGGGAATGCTTCTTTTGAAGGCCAAGGAGGCCTCGGAACTGATTTCTAGGAGTAGAATCACAGGAGAACTATTTGATAGGAACCTAATTCACAAATACCCACATTCATGTTTCTTATATTCCCGTGTGTTAGTGTGGTTTACAGAAGTAAACAAAGTACCCTGCTAGCATGCGGTGGAGGTAATGTTGATTGCAGAAGAGTTTTTCCTAAATAACATCTATGGAGGTTTAGGGATGTAAGCAGCTAGTCGACTATCTGATAAGCATATGCTTATCAGATAGTTGACTCGACTAGTCACTCTCCCTTTCCTCTCCTCCTTGTTGCATCTATAAGAGAGAGGCAGCAAGGGTGGGGGAGCAGGAGCCAGTACTGGGTGGGGGTATGTGTGGCTTAAAAGTCAGTTCCCACCAGCGCCGTCTCCTGGGGGGGCAGGAGCTCAGCGGGGAATTGGTGGCACGTCCGCCTTTGAAATATAGCAAGAGCAAAGCTCTTGCTACATTTCAAAAGTAGAAGCGCTGTGGGAGAAGGGGGCGAGCGAGGGACTTTAGCAGTTCCCTGCTGGCCCCATGCTCCCTGCTTTTGAAATGTACAAGAGCCCACAGCTTAGTTTTAAAAACACCCTGAAAATGAGAGTTTCTGATCACTGATGTTCAGTAAGTAAACGGAAAAGGCAGTACAATGTCTGTGCGGTTATCCTACACCTCAGATGTTATTGTGAGGCAGAAGACATCTTGGTTTTAGATGCTGTAATGAACATTTGAGTTCTAATTTCAACAGTGCATTGCTGGTTATCGAGCTGAAGAAGCAGTCGACATGTTAAAAACCTTCTACAGACAAGAAAATCCAAATGGTAAGGGTTTAGGTGTGTGGGGCATTTTGTTTTGTTTTGGTTTTGTTTTTTTTGCAATGATCTTAATCCCAGTCATAATATAAAATTATTTTGGCATATGCCTTGTCATCTTTCACTTTAAATGTCTTCTTTTTTTTTCCTCCGTCTTTTCTGGCAGCACCGAAATCAAAAGTACGGAAAAAGGAATGCAGTAAGTGATAGTCTGCTACTGATGGAAAACTGGATAATGATACAATGATTTCCACCAGAAAAAGATCTCTTCATTGTTCCCTTTGATGCAGCATTTGGATATGGAAACATTCATGAACTTCAAATATGTTGATGTATGGTTTCACTAGTTAAGCATTATCGGTTTCTGTCATTTTCTATGGCTATAAGTTGAATGATTTCTAAAAACCAAACATAGCCTTTATGAAGAATGTATGGTTTCTGTTTGGTGGGGAGTATTTTTGAATTATAGTTCACACTGAACTTCTTTTCAGCCATATAGATCCTATGTTCCATTGGAGTAATTGCTATTCTGTATAGTACATGGATCAATATATGTGTCCTTTTGTCTATGGAGCAGCCTCTTGCTGTTAGACAGCAGGTATTTATAGAGACTAGATCAATATCAAAAGCAGATAAACAAGCTAGTTTAGAAAGTTAGGTTCAATGATCTTAGAAAATTGAGATCAGGCAAATGTAACTGTTCACTGTTTTCTACTGTAGGCCAAGCTTTCAAAGAGTTTCTGAAAAGTCACATATGAAAATGGAGGCATTTACACAAAACTGCATGTCTGACTACTTGATTTGCATAAACAAATAATTTGCATAATCAAATGCCAGTTTTGCCTGCATAATATCTGTGGGCAAAGTTTTGGAGGCTGTCATGGAAGTTTGTCTCTATTATTCTTCTCTTGCATGTTAGCGTATAGAAAAAGATTACAGTTAATTAAATCCACCAGTCAGTTGGACTGGTTCTAAACTACTAAATTCCAGTGTTTAAAATGTGTAATCACAGATGTGAAAACTAGGAAAGGAAAATGGCAGTAAGAAAAAAGAACAAGATGCGTGCAATTCTAGTTTTTGGAGCATTTGTTACTTACGTCACTTACATATGCTTTTGCTCGGCCATGCTTTAATTCATAATCCAGAAGAGGGCCTTACTGTTCCACTAATGAATAAAAAGTATAGATCTAAATTGAAACCTGGATTGTATTGCTTTTGATAGATATTTTGAGGGAAAAGAAATTGAGAAATGTCTTATTTTGTATTAAAGAAGAGAGATTAGAATTCTATGAATACAAAAGTCAAAATCATACTATAATTAAATATTTTCTACAACCAAAGTAACATGTTGAAATATCGGAAGTAGGTGTGGGTTTTTGTTTTTTTGGATGATTAAATAAAGAAACTTCACTTGTTTTATGTGACTTTTTAATGCTTGTAGTTTACTAAATGGGGGGGAAAGGAACTAAAAAAAAGATTGTGCTGGGCTCCTACATTCTGTTTTTAATACAGGCAGTCCCCGACTTACGCGGATCCGACTTATGTCGGATCCGCACTTACGAACGGGGCTTTCTCGCCCCGGAGCTCACAGGCAGCGGTCAGCCACCTTGAGCTCCGGGGCGAGAAAAGCTGCTCCCGGTGCCCCTGGTCTGCTGGGGACGGTCTCCAGCAGACCAGGGACATCGGGAGCAAACCCGCAGCAGTGGCGGGGTCCCGCGCCTCTGAGGCTTTGCCAGAGCAAAGCTTCAGAAGCGCGGCACCCCGCCGCCGCTTCGGCTTTGCTCCTGGTGCCTCTGGGCTGCTGGGGACTGTCTCCATCAGACCCGGGACACCGGGAGCAAAGCCGGGGAGGCCGCGGGG